ACATTTGCCACCGTTTTTGACAACTTCACACCAATAACTTATTGTCACACCTTTATCTGTCATTCAGGATGTCAAATTCATCTTGCAAAGTGGCATTATTCCAACAACAACATAGGCTGCAACATCAAGAATGCATAGGAGCAAGAATATTTCACTAACAGCCCCCCGGGGCACATCCAAGTTGGCAGAGGATGGGCATTGCTGGGCTTGCAATCACAGGGTGGGGAGTTCGATTCCTGAATGAAACAGCTAAGTGTTGTAATACTTAATTTGGGTGGAGCAGATTGGTGATGTAATATCCATGGAGGAAGGCTCCCTTGAGGTCAGGAATATAAAGGGTGCACGGACTCTGATCAACTTGGGCATATCCCGCAATTAATGTATAAAAAGTGCACGGACCCTGGTAAACTTGGGTATATTTCGCAGTTAACCTCCACCCATCACTGAAGGGGTGGGGATGGATGGTCCAGGACATAGTCTGGTGTAACCTAGGATACCTGGATTTCCAAAAAAAAAAAAAAGGAATGTTTCACTAACAAGTTCTTTAGCCCATCTGTATACCACCATGCCTTCTTTGATATGTGCAAAGTGTTCAAGTAGGTATAAGTTCATATAGTTACGCTTTAATTTAATACTTGAGATATAATTAAGTTCATTTACAATCCTTATCGAACTAGTGTGCATATAATGACCATATGTTTTGTTGGCGACTTTACCGTACCAATTTTCTAATAAAGAGTGCTCCCTAAGTCGCCTTATTTGAAATGAGGGTCATCTCATGAGAATTAAAGTCTCACATGTAATGCCGGCAAGGAAAAACATTAATTAGACAAACTGAAGTAATAAATAGACCAACATTACAGCAAATGAAATCAAATAAAATATTCTAAATAATGCGCCATGTGACATGTACTGGGGGATTACAGAATGGTGTCCTTCCGCTCACATCCATGGGCGGACCGGGGGGCAAGTGCCCCCAACTTTTGAGAATTTTTTTTTTTTTTTATAAAATCGTGTTTGGTATCGATTAAAATATAAATTTTAATATAAATCAAAGTTAACAATTAATTTTAATAACGTACTTCGTGGAATCCATAATTGTTTAATTTTTATCAAAATTTACTAAAAATTTGATTTAAATCGCCACCAAACAGTGGCAAAATCAAAATAAATTTGAATTTCGATAACATGCTAATTTTAAAAATTCTCCAACGATCGTAGCTAATTGAATCTACGAATTGCTTATGTTATCTCAAAACTTATTTCGAGAACTACATTATGGGCATGTAGAATAGTCCAAACAGATATCGAAAATAGTTAAATATACATTAAACGGTGTTTTAAAAAATACGTCTAACTCGTATTTTTTTTAAAAAAAATTTAAATTATTTCATTAACATTTATTATTTTTACGATACAAATTTATCAATGTAATTTTTATCATTTTATTAGGAAATTTATATAGAATATGACATCAAAATTTTTCGATATTTTACATCCGAAAAAATCATATCACATGTAAATTTTCGAATGTAAAATTACATGGGGTATGATTTTTTTGGACGCAAATTTTCGATTGTAAAATTTCTCCAAACTTCTTTGCAAGTTTGATTGTGCCCCCTCTAACTTTTATAGTCTGCGTCCGCCCCTGCTCACATCGGGATAGGACCTCAGCTCGGCATTTTTTAATGCGCGCAGGGCCCGCAAATCATGTGAGGGGGGACACAATTCGGTAGTCCCCCCTCGGTACAAATATCATTTCTCCTAAATAATAATTTTCAACTTGCTTCGTAAAATTTACCTCTTCTAATGTGTTTCCCACGAGATGTGCGGTGCAAATGTGAAATGAAGTTAGGACTACGAGTTGACTTAAATATAAGTTTTGGGGTTTATATATAAAATATTTTATTGTGAGACTATGTGATTAAAAATAAATTTTAAAAAAAAATGAGTTTTTAAATTCTTCAGTTCGGCCTTAGTGCAATTAGTTCGGTTTTTGGTTCAATCACCTCGTCCGGCACGTGGTGTGGGCCACGGGTGGGGACACGTGGCGGGTGAGGTGGCGGGTCTGACACAGGCCCGTAACAAGTACTATAAAAATTTCTCATTGAAGATATCTTATATATGTATTAAAGTGAAAATTCTTCTCTTATTTTGGTTTCAATTTCTAAGCATAATTCAAAAATTCACATGCAAACCATTGAATTCAAGATGATGAAATTGAGGTGCATGTCCTAACATGAACTTTGAGGAGAAATTCTCTTCGGGGTTAATTAGGAAATATGGTTTTTGACCTCTAGAAACGAGTCCACGGAAAATTTCGTCCTACTTGCATCCATGTAAGTAGAAACCAAGCCACGTATAAGAGGAATCACTCTTCGAGGCACTAGCCAACAAAGTGTTCGAGCTCCGGGATTGAATCAACACGATAACAAGATAAAATATTTTAGATCAAACTCCAACACTCAAGCAAGTAATATCGCATATGAAAAACTAGACAAAGGTGAAACTTTAAGTATTTGGAATTGCATTAGGCTTAAAATGATACAAGATGGGATATTTATAGTGTCACAATTAAAGTCATGACCGTTGGATTAAACGCACGTGGCTTCATCCGACCCACTGGGACTTCTCATCACAGACGTCTTATCATCCACTTGTCCTAGGTTGTACTCGAATGTCTGGAAAAGGGAGCCGCCCCATAGTATGTGTTAGTAGGTGGACAGGATTTGATTTGTTTGGGCTGCAAACTGTCACATATTGCTCTTTCACTAGATCCTTACACAATGGATTTTCTTGGAGACCGTCATCGATCCGAAGCCATTGGAAGCTTGGGGAGCTTCGGCAAAAGGACTTTGGATGGAAGACGTAGTTCGTTATATGTGGGCTTCGATCATTATGCTTCCTATCATGGACCAACTTCGGATCTACTATCTTGGACCAACTTTAGTTATAGGGAAAATTGCAGCCGTGGTCCCAAACATTTTATTTTGTTGCAGATTACACTCAAACCTTTTATTTTTGCGGTCGAAGTCTCAAACTTTTATATGTAGTTGCAGCGTCGGTCCTAAGCCTTTAATTCCGTCCATAAAACCGTCAGTCAACGTTTCAACAGTAATTTTGACTCAAATAAATGCAATGCTGGTCCCAAAC